CGCAGCTGCCACCAGCCCCAGAAGAAGCCGCCCGCCCGCCCGCGCCGCAGCCGCCCGTCCAGCACCCGCCCCGGCCGCAGTCACCGGTGCAGCCGGCCCATCCAAACCTCCCTGCGGTGCAGCCCCATCCGGCCTCGCAGAGCCTCTCGCAGCCACTCTCTGCCTATAACAGCAGCAGTTTAAGCCTCAACAGCTTAAGGTAGGCGAACAGAACCGCGTGCACGCCGAAGCCCCGTGTCTTGCAGCCTTGCTGCCTGGTGGTGATGGTTTACAGTGCCTGGAGGAAGCGGAGATGAATTAGCTAAAGGAGAGAAGTGACGGCACATCCCGTCCCATCGCTGGGAAACAAAGGGGACTTGGTGCATTTAACCTTAATTCCTTCCCTGAACTGAGCCAGGATCACTTTGTTTCTCATCTAGTGTTCCCATAAATGCTAGGTATTCTCGAGCACTTAGTAAATTTGCTTTTACTTTTCCTGTCTGTCATTGTGTACTCAGGTTTTTGGAAGGAATTTTATGCAATACAGACCAGGGGAAGAAAATCCCCATTCTTGCAGGTTGGGCTGCTCTCTGAAGGCTAATTTCTTTTACCCTCCCATCCCTGTAAACATCTGCTTTCTCCAACTCCTGACATGCCCTAGAGCAAGAAGTGTGTTACAGCTGCTGTGGGCCCTGCTGACAGCCTGCACAAACGGGCTTGCACCAGTGACTTTAAAGCTTAATTTTTTCCTGCACTGCTGACACCTTGCAGTCTTCAGTGTTTTTCTCTTCACCTGGCTACAGGGAGATAAACCTCACCTTTTATAGGGGATAGCAAAGATGAACAGAGAGATTAAACAGCGCGTTCACAGGAGCCCATGATGTCTCTGTGAGTCAGGGACCTCGGGTTTCCCCTACTCTAAGCTCATGCTGTCAGCACTAGGTCGTCTTTCCCCGAATCTGAGCTTCCAGCAGACGGATGGTGTCCTTCAAGACCCGGTGAACCAGCATTATGGTTGCTTCATGGTTTGACTAAAGACGGGGAGGTGTTTAAGACTTGGATTTATTTTTAACCAAATTGGTATTGCTTGTCTTTAAAAGTCCCTGCAATAGAAGCACGTCCTTACGTGAAATAATGACAAGTAGAATTAAGCACTATGTGAATATGTTTTAAATACTCATTAGTAGGAAATGAAACCTGAAAAATTGCAACCAGTGTAATTGCAAATATTTATTTCGCTGACTTGTCTTATCTCTTCATATTGTGGGGGTAGAGAGAGGCATTAACTCTACAATAAGCATATATCTGTTGTTGCCTTCTCAACTTTATTTCACATTTTCTGCAGTCTTTCATCTTACTAAGTCATAGCAAAAAAATTAAACTTCTATTAATGCAGTGATCACTGATTTTGAGCTTCATTTGCCTGAAAACATGAATCAGAAGCAGTTGTATAGAAAGGGCCTGATAATTAAGTAATGAATGCACAGGGCTGATTACTCCTTCGGGTGTCATTCCTGTGTTGTTGGAGGACAGAACATGAGGCTCTTACAGAGAGGGAGAATGTGTCTCGGGTTTTGGTGCGGAGAGGCTGCAGGAGGTAACAGGTACTAGATAAGGTGCAGCAGACGGCTGGAGAAGGGAGCATCACAGGGTATAGATAGAAAAGTAAAATAGTAACTTGCATTTGTAATATATAACTTACATTAGTAACGTGTTTAACGTGAGCCGTGCATAGCTTGGGGGGGTTGTGTATGTGTATGTTTGGAGCTTTTCTCTCTTCCGTGCAACGCTTAATCGCTTTTCTTTTCATTAACAGCAGCAGCAGAAGCAGCACTCCTGCCAAGACTCAGGCCCCTCCTCCGCACATATCTCACCACCCCTCGGCCTCACCATTCCCCCTCTCTTTACCCAGCCACAGCCCGCTGCATACCTTCACGCCCACCCTCCAGCCCCCCGCACACCCACATCACCCCAATATGTTTGCCCCTCCTACGGCTTTGCCTCCTCCACCTCCATTGACGTCAGGGACACTGCAGGTTCCAGGACACCCAGCTGGTAGTACTTACTCAGGTAAGAGACAGAGCACGGCCCGAGCATGTCTAGTGCAGCGTAGGAAGCCAATTCTCCGGTTTGAGTCAGAATAATTCTTTTTGGTCCATTTGATGGTGGCTGTTGGTTGGGTAGAGGCTGTACTCATCGCTGAACGATTGGGAATGATGTCAAAGCCAAAACCCACCTAGACATACCCAACGACTTTTCTTCCGCCCTGGGAGTGAATATTTTTGAAAGGCTGTGCTTTTTCCATGTCTGTTTTTTTCTCCCCATGGTAAAAACACGCTAGAGTTCATAATGTGCCCACACAGAATCCGTGACCCCCTTAGCGAACGTCTTTGCTGCAGTTGTGGTCTGTGCCCAGCATTGCTTCCCTGGATAGAGGGAAGGTCTCCAGTGGCTGTGCACACAGCGGTCCTGAGCTCCCCTACGTGCCAGATTGGGTGGGCGGGTGGGTGAGATGTAGAGATTTTTATCAGTGGAGAAAACTGTGCTCTTTTATACTTCAGCTGTGGGGAGATGTAACGCGTCTGTTCCTCGCAGATCATTGACAGGGAACCGGGGGAAGAAAATGGAGGATTATCAGCATTTGAGTAACATCAGTTTGTGTCCGTGCAGCAGGGTACTCACGTTAGCAGCAGCCACTCGATGTTTACTCACTCCAGGTTACCCGTACCTCCTCACCTATTTAGAACTATGTCCATGTCCATACAAACTTAGGGAGAACTCTCGGGTTAATGCTCAGAAGAACGCTGTAGTGAAGACAGGCTTGGTGAGAGAGAGAGGAAATGGAGACTTTCTTCTGTCTCTCAGGCCTTTGGGGAATACCCGAGGGAGCTTTCTTACCCTGTACAATGTCGTGATTTGCCACCAGGAAGTTTTAAATACAGCGTTGCTACCACAGCCAGCAAAGAGTAAGTGGCACAAGGTCTGGAAAAGTCCCTGAGCTCACGGGGGGTTGTTTTGCTGTTTGTATTTCAGAACAAGATCTTCTCCGTCAGGAACTAAACACGCGATTTTTGGCCTCGCAGAGCGCAGATCGCGGGGCCTCCCTGGGCCCGCCGCCGTACCTGAGGACCGAGTTCCACCAGCACCAGCACCAGCACCAGCACACACACCAACACACACACCAGCACACCTTCACGCCTTTCCCTCACGCCATCCCACCCACTGCCATCATGCCAACGCCAGCACCGCCCATGGTGCGTACCCCAGGCAGAAATGTGAGGATAAGTAGAGCACAACTCTATTCTTTATTACAAAAATTTAAGAATTTGCCAGGTTGCGGGGAAGGAGTGCTCTGCCGCCCCGGCGCGGCTGGGTAGGAGAGGAAGGGCTGTGCCTTCCTTGCGATGGTCGCATGTGCAGTAGGTCCGGGTGGCAGCGCAGGGGCTGAGGGCCGAGGCTGCTGGCTGAAGGAGCGCTCGTGCCTGGGGCGTCCCAGTGCTTGGAGTGGCGCACTCCGGTGCCGCCTCCTCTTTCCTGTCTCGTAAAGACCTTATTTTACTTTGAAGAAAGAAAAATCCCAAGCAGTTTCATTGGAAACTTAATTTTCTGGATATTTTTCCTCTCTGTTGGTTGCCAAATAATAGAGAAGTAGTCTTCTATTTTACCAACAGAAGTAAAGCAAGGAAATATAAAGTAACTAGTTTGTGCTTTGATCCCTTTGCAGTTTGACAAATACCCTACAAAAGTTGACCCCTTCTACCGTCACAGTGTGAGTTTTATTACTCTGTCTAAAACTGACTTAACTGCTTTTCTGTGGTGGGTTGGGATCACCACTCAATCAATGGCACAATGTCGAATCTCTCCCTAATCATCACTCCAGGATTTACCATTACTGTTCTTGGTTGCTTTGGCTTTTGAAGGCTTGCATTCGTGGTGCTTGTTTCTGATAAAGATGCAGTATCAGCTTTTCCAATCAAAAGATCTCTTGCTCATACACCATTTGGAGACAGGTTTGATGTGAAAACGATCAGACAGAAGAGCTGACGGTTACATGAAGCAGAAGAGAGCAGCAATTTCATCACTGTGTTTCAGTTGTGCCACAAACCCTTAGACTGATATTTTTCCTAAGAAACTTGAAATGAAATGACAGACTGTCATACAAATCCTTCAGGGATAGGTAATCTAATAGTTTTCCTGATATATCATATTTTGTTTTATAAAATCTGAAAACTTGTCTTATTCTTCAGATTTGAAAGGCACACCTGATCCACTGGGCTTGTTATGTTTTGAAAGCTCTGTTTGATGACAGCAACATGAATCCAGCTACGCACTAGATGTGTTTATCTGAGAGCTACCAAAAATGTTATTTATTGAGATGAACTGATTTTTAGTATTCCAGTTAATTGTAAAGCGTCTGCTCTTAAGGGTTTGAATCTACTGATTCATTTGCTGCTGAAGTATGGGTTGCATTGCCTTCACCATATTGGCAGAGGCAGGTGTCTGGTTGAATATGACAAGACTGTCTAAATCCAATAGTGATATTTTGATGAGAGAAGGAGTACTGCATCAGCACTCAGAAATTTGCAAAGCACTTGGCTGTATGTGTTGGTTTTGCTTAGAAGTGGAACTGGGCAAAAAAAACTGGTTCAGATGACAGTGTGATGCTTTCTGCTGTACCAATTAAACACAGTTCCTGCTAACAGCTCATGCCTGTGGTACGTGCGAATAGTCCTATTAATTTCTGACACCTCCTTTGAGTAACTTTAACTGTATGAGCGTGTTTGCAGGATCCAGGCTCTAGGAGTATTAGGCAAACGTTTAAGCCTATGACAATCACTTTTACTCAAAAGGGTAATGCTGCTCATTTGCATCATTGTTTGCAAAATTGCACTTTTATTTGCTGAGCTTTACATGGATTCAAAAGATGTATCATCAACAATGTGGCATGTTGATGCAAGCAAGAACACGGAACTGGGAAATAGGTAAATGAATTTTAGACAAATAAACCACAGAAGTCGACATGCGATATCGGAAACATTGCAAAAGTCTCCAACTGTATATGCTTTTCAAATTCGGTGACATAATCTCTTATAAATCTGGCAGGTACTTGAATTGTAAAGGTCATGGCGTGATCCCCTTTAAAGTAAGGAGAGGCTTTGCGTTGTTCTCTGTTAGCCCGGGAGCCGTGCTGTTGAACTTGGCAGAGCTCCCCCAGCAGCGGTCCGGCCCGTTCCCCCTCCCCTGCCTGGCCTTCCTTGAGACGTGGCTGCAATGTCATCACTGTGGCGCCTGTTGGGTATTTAGCAGAAGATCAACGTGATGGCTACAAATTACGTTGGATTAACAGACTTTCCTAAATTACAGCAAGGCCCTGCTAGCCAGGATATTGCAGTAATCTCTTCTACTATGACTATAGATTGTGTAGGTAACGGAGGAACTGCTTGCAGCAGTTTCCTGAGCAGCTGCAGTATCAAAAAGCATCCTTGGGCTGGTGTAAGTGCCTCCCCGACAGGGCTTTTCCTATTGTAGAAATACTGTGAAACGGTGGCACTTCCGTAGACCTGTTCCTAGTGACAAGAGTTTCCACTATAGATCCTCACCACAAATTCAGATATGTTTTAATGCTCGTAAGTGAACTTCGCAGGAGAAGGAGGTCTGTTTGAGAGTTAAAATCAATCTACTTTAGAATAGGGAACACAGAAGCTCACGTAGAGATTTAAAACTGTTTTCTTTCTCGGCATCTTTGATTTTACCATCATTTCTTCTTTGGGAGGGCCTTACCGTAGCACAGCGAGGCATTCCTTTTACCTCGAGTTGATGCAGGGTCTAGTTTAGGGTTCCACTGCCCCCGGCCCCAGCGGAGCCGTGGGTACTACGTTGTTCCCTGAAGAAATGTTGTCCAAAAGAGCAGGAGAAAAAGGAAACGCTGACTATGAAAGGTGTGTTTTGAAAGCTGGAGGAATTGAACTGATACAAGGAGATCCTGGAGATACAATATTTATATTTTATTAATAATTCTGACCTTGAGGAAAGGTCACATTTAATTAACTTACCAGTTGTTATAAAACCCTAAGGAAAGCATTCCTTATTATTAGTCATAGCCAATAGAATATTAAGTATTACGTCTCTTTCCATCATTTGGAATTAGTCCATTACACACAGCATTAAGTGCAGAAGACACTGCAAGGATTTAAAACACATTTTACTCATTAAAAGTTATTGTAAATGAGGACATGTGTCTCATAATGATTTCTCAAATGCCTGCAGTTCAGTATCAACTAATCTAAAAATGCTTTCTGCATCATTGAATGGAGCAGGTCCAAATTAAATAGAATTAAAAACAACAATAGAAACGTGTTATGAAAGGAGACTTGATTCCATGCTTTTAAACCGAGAAAATCTTTTGATACCTCTAAAATACTGACATATTTTCTCAGCTTTCAGCAACTATAATATGAATAAATGACCTTGCAAGATAAGCTAGTGGAAGGAAAAACGATTAAGAAAAGCACATACGTATGCCTGGCATAAAGAAATTCATCAAAACTTTGCGATACTGATTTACTCTGGGATGTGACTTTCTCCGTGTTTGCCCACTCCGCATGTCCAGTCTTTTACTTTGCCCAGTCCTGCTTCTGTTCAATTGGCCATTAACTCATTTATTTTGATCTTAAAAGTAGCACACAGTAGGTGGATTTGTGATCAGCTGTGTTCAGAGGTGAATTTCTGTCAGCCAGATAACCCCTTCGGTTTTTGGGTGGCAATACCAGCTGAGTTAGCAGCCATCCCCCGTTAACATCCTGAGGTTTCACAGTGAGAACGTAGTTGCTGTGCGATGCTTTGAACCCCCAGCTCCTACCAGAAAGCGATTTTGTCTGTAATCTCATCACTTTCCGTGGAATTGGGCAAGTTAACTGTGTTACAGCATGAGTAAAAGATTCACAGCCGGACCACAGAGACAAGAGAAGAGTTGGACGTTACGGTTACTTGCTTGTTTCCCGTGTGTTTGTCTGCATTAGTACAAAACAGCTTTTTTTTTTCCTTCTAAATTCTCTTAGAACAGCTCCGTTGGGATCAGTGGAGATGTGCACTTTTTTTATGTTTAGTAGTCTGTCTTTATAAAAACAGTACCCTACATTTTTGGGGGGGTTCTGCCTCAACATTTTGTTTAAATAATCATTTTTAACAAATCAGATTGTCTCTCTGCTAATATTAGATGTGGCAGGATATCCTCTCAGACAGGCTAATGAAGTAAGAATCGTGCGTATTTTCCTCATTTCCTACAGATACTATTAAAATCCTAACGTACTAATGGAGTTTTAATGAGACAATACCCTAGACCTCGTAAGGGTTTTTTTTCCACTTAAACGGTAGATTTCTGAGTCTTACTTGGCTCAGTGTTCTGCCTTTTCTCTTGAAATGGCTTGCGAACTGAAACCATGTAAAACCTCTATCCAATTTAAAAATTAATAATTAAAAAAAATCTCTTACGCTGTGGCCTAATCCAGGGGACAGGTTGCTGGCTTTATGGTTTTGGAACTGCTTTTAAGCTCTAAACGTCATGACATTTGTGAACATTTCATTGACTGCTTTAACTAACATCGTTGCAACGAGATCACTTCTTCAACGCTTCTCGGTTCTCGCCATGTACCATTTCCCTACTAC